GAACTTAATGATTCTTGCTTGTATCTCTATTATGCAATTCATGTAGGGAACCTGTGGGGAATGCTTTGGGTTGTTGTATGCAATCATCCAATTCAATGAAATTAGGAAAATCTGAGGGTTAATTAGTGCAATTCACAGTTAATCTGGGGCGTTGAGAATTCGTAGTTTATTGAAAAGCAACTGGAAATCGTTTTGTTTGCAAGTGTCATGTGTGGAGAAGAACCTCCTAACTAGCCTTCCATCCATTCAATTTACTCAAATTCGTACAGATTTCATTAGTTCTTTAATTTACTTGTTTTGTTTTCAAATTCATCAAAACCAAAACCCCCTTTACCTTGTTGAGTCATATTAGTTAGAAACTGATTTAGTTTGTGTTTTTAAGTATTTCGAACCAAGTTGAAACCAAAATTCGTCCAAAAGTGTGTTTAGAGTCCAAATATGCCCAGTTTGTGTTTTTAGGCAGATTTGAGCGTTTTTAGCTTGTTTTGAGTTCTTTGAATTTGTTTTAAATTCTTTGAGTCTAGTTTAGTATTTTTAACTTTGTTTATATGTTTTTAAGTCAGTTTAGAGGTTATTAGCAAGCCCTCCTAATCCCCGGTCCATAACGATCCCTACTTACATTCTGTACTACAATTGATACAAGAGGGTTTAATTTGTGTGTTAAGTGAATTCACATCATGAAGCCCAACTTTTTTTAACTAATTCTCCCACTTGGGAAAACACTCATTAATATATTCTTTCAGAGATGTACCTAAAGAAAATTGCTCTATATTTTAGACATAATAAAATAGACATCTCATCAAACATAAAGTTGTCAAACAGAATTTCAGCAATGAGTTACACTTACTTTAGAATTTATCATAATTAATTTACAAGCTTGATTGCTACCAAAGTTATACTGATCAAAATAGACATACAAATCTTCATAAAATAAAAATATAGAGCCGTTTTGGGTCAAAATAGTAGTCTAAAGTCACGTCTCAAAAAGACCAACACAATCTGCCAGTAAAACTGCCTATACGAGCATGGGTTACTAGTAAATTCACCATAATTAAAATACATGGCAAACAATTATGCAAATTTGTAGACACATAGTAGACATATATATGTTGGACCTATCCAAAATTCAGGTCATTTGGTGAACATTAGACGTGTCATTTACCTGATTTAAATCAAGACACGTAATCTGCCAGAAACAATTATGTGCATCTATCATGAATTTATGCATCCATAACAAATTCAATTGCATATCATTTCAATTTCGATGTCCAAAGGAAACTTTAGTAGTCAAATTTCATCCTCTAAACCGACATCATAGTTCAAATTGAAAAGATTTACAAGCATAAGATTTAAACAATGAGTACCTTAGCAATCCTTGATTAACCTTCATGGGTCCAATACTTTGCATCAACAAGTCTCATGAAGAGACACAAAATACGTCATGATGCAACCGATTTCCATGCCTTCAACCCACAACCTTTTATGGGGCTCATTGTGGAAATATTTGTCACTAATGGCATGGAACTTTATCCCAATAAACTTCATGAAACTAAATTAATTTACACCTATAGGCAAGAAAATTAACTAGTTTCTAGTACTAGATTTTATATCACAAAAGTACCTTCATGAAAAACTTCAACACCTGTAGGCAAGATGAAGATTTTCACAACTTCGGTGAAATAAAACCCGTACTATGCCATCTGAATTAAACTAAAAGAAGTAATCCACACCTGTAAGCAAGAAGATTATCCCTTTTATTTTAATTAAGATGCAAAGTTGACCGAAGTAACTCAAAAACATAGTCCCATTGTCAACTAAACCGTTGCATCTTGCTTAGTTGAAAAGGCATTGGTCAACTCCGCCTTGAAACAATACAAGAAGTCACATGAATTAATTAACTGTAAGTGATAAAAAATAGGATAACCTGATTCGAGCTTCGAGTCTTGCCAACAAATGGCACTAATTCCTTCATGACTCCCTTTGATATTAAATTAATCCCAAAAACTTGACAGCATACTTGAAGGAAATTAATCACATATAGAACAAGTTTTCACCATAAGAATGTCAATACTTATCATTACAGAGTCAATTAGAAATACTTTATGTAATGTGAGAGAACAATACATTCCTTTAATTTAAAAGCTAAATCACTCAAATGTTTTCTTAAGTCAAACAGGTTCCTTTTCTTTTGTACCTTTCTTTCCGTAGTACAAGGCTCCTAAAACATTAGCATCAAAATCGTGCATTAGCCTTGTAAATACCAAATAAATAAAAGGAACAACCAAAATTATTTTCTTCCATAGAAAACATTTCCAATATATGCCCTACATTAGCCTTGAAAAGTTTCTTTTCTTCTCCCCTTATGGCATATAAAAATTACTAATCAAAGCACTGTTTAAATTCTTTAGGCGTAGGAAAAACCACAAACAATAATACATGTTTGAAAATTCATGCTTGTCAATTAAGCCACATATTTTGAATGGATTACATACCTCATGCCTTCATATGTTCACCACTTCTTTGTAAACATATATATAATCACATGACCAACCAAAATTCTCATATAAGAATAAAAATACAAATGAGAACTGTCACATAATTTCTACAAACCTTATTCATTTGTATAATACCCTTGTTCTTGTCACTAGATGCTTTCTGTCATTCTCAGTCAATCCACAAATTATACATCAATTTTTATAGTTAACTAGTCATGTATAATTTAAATGACTATTGAGATAAGAAAGCAAATTGTAGACAAACCTGATTGATTAGTCATGCATATTTCTTGTGCTATTAATGGCATAAAAGTTCATTCTCATCTTGTGAAAATTAGTGGAAACAAAACTACAATTCACTATAGTCCAAAACCCACGACAATATTGAAAATATATAATCTCATGCTCGAACCAAATTAGCCATACAAGCAACACTATACACGCCATTTGCTTAACAAATGTTGCCAAAATCTGTATGACTTACTTTCATGTATAGAAATTTTATCAAATTCATTAACAGACATGTATAAAACTTAGCGTATGTTTCCTTGCAACATTATTGTAATATATGTTATTACAATCATAGGCATAACATATCCCAATAGTATTGATAAATTATAGGATATGACTAATTTTGTCTCCTACAATTAGAAAGACGTCACGACATGGTTGGATTTTGCAGGAACAGTATAACACTTCATGAATCCAACATAACCATTCCTTATATAATTTATCATGAAGACCAAAAGGAAAGATCATACCAGAATTTCATATACCGATGTAATACGAACCTTTTCATTGGGCTTGTTCGACTGAGGAATCTTAAGAAATTCTCCAATGCAAGGTTAGAACAAATGTAAATACATATACATGCTATGCGAACTGTAGTTACATAATTGGCTTTAGAAAATTATGTATACTTGCGTGATCCAACAATTGCTGGCACTTATGCAATTGTTTCTTGTCACATTATAACGTATCACCCGTAGTAATTCCTATAGAATACAATTCATGGAAAATAATATTAGTTCTTATTCAATAAGCATATGCCCATTTAGATGCTTATTGCCAAAATATATAATAATTGGATCCATATTCATGACATACTTAACCGATACATGGTAATCAATGTATGTACATACTCTACAATAATTAGCACATCACTCATGCAATTATATCTTTATCTTATTACCAATTTAAGCTTTCAGGGATCAACCCAAATATATATCAACCAAAATACCATAAACCATTATGGAAATCAAGGTCAATGAAACAAACCATTTTGCTTTGGTAGATGACTTCGTTCTGCTTGCTAATCAGAGGGACCTCTTCAGTATGGTCAGAACAAATATAGAATGCTTACAAAAATTGAGATCATGGTAAATCAATTCAACCAAAACACTAGCATGAAGATTGAAATAGAACAAAACTGTTATTCTTCTTAGTGCCATGGTTTCCACTGTAAAATACATAATATAATACCACGCCTTACATATATGCTTCTTTACGTTCCTATATGATTATAGGATTCCAATTCCTATATGATTTTTAAATTTCATGCTTCAATACTATAAGAATATTATATAAATTCTATGCTTCAATTCCATAATTTAATTCATGCTTGATCAAAAGCACCTCTAAGCGTAGTTCAATTTCCAATTGGCAAGCAAAGCTATGTGGTTATATATAATACACCGCATACAATATTATGGATTCGTGCTATAATCAGGCAACTTGTCTTGCTGATAATAATCAAGGTATCAATTAGCATAGTTCTTAATAAATTTCCCTTGACTGCAACCATAATATTAGTGAAAAATATTCTTGATTAAAACTGAATAATTATGCAACCTGATCATAATTAACAATTGAACTTATTCAAATCACATGGTAAACTTGCCGAGTATATGCAATGAGAATTTGGATTAAATACGCAGTTCAAGAGAATATTATATAATCCAACATTAAACCTAATAGGTTTTAATTATATAACCAGTGGCTCTAATACCAACGGTTAGCCTTATAAGGTTATACAATTAAAACACAATCGAATAAGTGACTGACCTGATTGGTTATACAATTAAAACACAATCGAAGGAGTGACTGACCTGATTCCAACGGCGGCCATGGAAGTCGAACACGAAAACAAGCAGGGCACGGCAACACCAAGATCTTCTATAAACTCCTAGCCGAATACAACTACACTATGGGAAGCATTATGTTGTGTGTTCTAGGGCTTATAGGGACCGGTGTTTTTTATAGGTTAAAAGCTAGGGTTTCCATCCATAAAAGAAACCTAAACTTACTTTATTAGCCTCCATGTCAAGTATCATAATCATATTCAATTAAGGATTCCATCAATCATATTTCCAATATAAGAAACCTTATATAGGATTGATATCTTTAAGAGATCAAATCACAATTAACATTATTCTCCAATATTACATTCCTATTACATGTAGTAGACCACTTAAAGGATGATTTATATTGGATAAATCCAACAAGGATCAAATGGATGGACAGAGAACCTTATGCATACTGGAAAGGGAACCCCTTTGTTGCTGATACAAGGAAAGACTTAACTCAAAAATGCAATGTCTCAGAGACACAAGACTGGAATGCTCACCTATTCATCCAGGTACCATTAAGGATAAAAACTAATTTCGTTTAAACAAATGGCATATGTTATCAACAACATTAACTTTTGATTGAAAACCCAATTAGCCAATAAATCTACAAACTAATTAGGTATAATTTCAGGATTGGATTCTTGAATCTCAACAAGGCTTCAAGCAATCAAATGTAGCAGACCAATGCACACACATGTATTTCTTGTAGACATATAAATAAAATTCTCTTGTTTGGTAATTAAATTCACTTTAATCGTCATTCCATTTTATCATGATTTATGCAGGTACAAGATCTATATTGAGGGTTATGCATGGTCTGTGAGCGAGAAGTACATTCTAGCATGTGATTCAGTAACATTGCTGGTAAAACCGAAGTACTATGATTTCTTCACAAGAGGTCTGCAACCAGTGCACCATTACTGCCCTAGAACGCATGAAAACAAATGTAGATCCATTAAGTTTGCTGTGGATTGGGGCAACAACCACAAACAAAAGGTGACTCATCTTTCTAATTAACTTTCCATTTTGTTCGTAATTTATGGTATTGTCCTTTTTAAACTCCGAGCAGAGCTATTTGTACCATATTTATAGAGGCGCGGTCAACAATGTGATCCCCCTAGCATTACTCTAGAAGTTTATACTCTACGGTTTCTGTTACTTACAGATTTTGGAACAGGCATAAGCAATTGGAATAGCAGCAAGCAACTTCATTCAGGAGGAGCTAAAGATGGACTATGTGTATGACTACATGTTTCATCTATTAAATGAATATGCTAAACTCTTAAGATTTGAGCCACGAATATCCAAAGGTGCTACACATTTGTGCTTGGAGAGTATGGCTTGTCCTGCAAATGAGTCGCCCAAGAAGTCTATGACCGAATCATTGGTTAAGAGTCCATCAGCAATAGACCCTTGCACCATGCCTCCTCCCTATGAACCCCGAGCTCTTGCAGAGTTATGCAGGAGGAATATTAATTCAATTACACAAGTGCAATAGTGGGAAGATAAATTTGACCGTAGGGTTTAATTATAGTGTTTGGGTTTATTGTTAAATTTGAGTTTTATTATTAATTTCATTTTGTACTTAATAGTAATTATACAATAGGGTAAAATAGACAATTAACATTTAAAATTTTAAGTTGGGTGTAAAAAAAGATTGAATGGGTTTAAATAAAATTTCCCTAAAAAAATAAAATAAAATAAAAAAGAGATGAAACAAAATTATCCCTTCTTGTAACTTCTTTTTGTTTCCTATTTAGGGTTAATGGTAATTGTCCACCAACTTTCATACCCATTAATAGTTTCAGCCACCCATGTCGAATCTGTGCCCAATCACTTGCTCAATGTGTAGGATTCATCTCTGTAAGAAACGTGATACCTAAATATCAAATGGGTGACGGTGGAAGGAAGCCTAGGTATTACACTATCATTATCCATGCATTCAATTTAAACGAAAATCCTTGGTGTCTTATTTGCATGTAAGTTAAAGCTCCACGTGGGTAAAGCAGACGCCAGCGTTGTCCTCTTATTCTTCACACATTTCATTGGCTATGGAAGGATCATCAATCATCCCCCACATTCATCACCACAATCCATGGCAGTTTCTCCACCTCAAAAACCAAACAGCCACGTGATCCCCTTATCTAATTTCCCCCTTCCATTCCCTCTCCATGCATGTAAATTCAATCCGTTCCCACCTTTTGCACCGATTTCCTCCTACTATTTTTCTTCTCTTATCCAATGGCAGCTGAAATTTCGTCCGGCAGCCGAAGAAATTCCAACACTCAGCTCCTGGAAGAGCTCGAAGCACTGAGTGAGTCACTCTACACATCCCACACTTCGAGCACTAGTACTCGAAGAACTGCCTCCCTTGTCCTTCCTCGAAGCTCGGTTCCTCCCATACCATCTAAAGATGGAGTTGTTCCGCCGAGTGTTGAGGAGATTAGACTCAATAACAAACCGCGAAGGCGGATGTCTTTGTCCCCATGGCGCTCCCGCCCAAAACTTACTAATGATGAGGAAGATGAGCATAAGGATCAAGGCAAGAAGGCCGTGAAATATAATTCACCGGAGCTAAGAAGCTTGGATGACAAGGCAACTGCCATCATAGAGAGAAAAGGTATCTGGAATTGGAAGCCGGTTCGCGCTATTTCCCACATTGGAATGCAGAAGCTGAGCTGCTTATTTTCTGTTGAAGTTGTCACTGCACAAGGCCTTCCAACTTCAATGAATGGCCTTAGACTTTCTGTCTGCGTTAGAAAGAAGGAAACAAAAGACGGAGCAGTTCAAACAATGCCGTCAAGGGTGACACAAGGAGCTGCTGATTTCGAAGAGACCCTTTTCGTTCGGTGCCATGTTTATTGCAGCTCCGCCCATGGAAAAAAGACAAAGTTTGAGCCGAGACCCTTTTGGGTATATTTGTTTGCAGTTGATGCAGAGGAGCTTGATTTTGGGAGAAGTACTGTGGATTTGAGTCAGATGATTCAGGAGTCCATTGAGAAGAGCCGTGAAGGCCAACGAATTCGACAATGGGATACGAGTTTTAAACTGTTAGGGAAGGCGAAAGGCGGTGAGCTTGCTCTGAAACTAGGGTTTCAGATTATGGAGAAGGATGGAGGAGTTGGGATTTACAGTCAGGTTGAGGATTTGAAGTCTAGTAAGTCCAACAATTTCACATCTTCTTTTGGTAGGAAGCAATCGAAAACATCATTTAGTGTGCCTAGTCCAAAACTTTCAAGCAGAGGAGAAGCTTGGACACCTTCACAAGCAAGAAAAGCAGTTGATCTTCAGGGGATTGATGAACTCAACCTTGATGAACCGAACCCGGTTCCTATATCATCACCTTCTTCTTCTTCTGCAGCTCAAAAGCCTAAAGAACCAGAAGTGCCAAAGGTGGAGGAGCTTGATCTGCCAGACTTTGAGGTAGTGGATAAAGGAGTTGAATTCCAAGACAAGGGAAAGGAATATGGGGAGGAGCAATCCGAAAAGTCTGTTGGCGAAAAATCAGCAACATCAAGTGAGGTTGTGAAGGAAATTGTGCAAGACCATGTTCATACAACAAGATTGACAGAACTTGATTCAATTGCTCAGCAGATTAAGGCTCTTGAGTCTTTGATGGGGAAAGAAAAAATCGACGAAAAAGATGAAGAGGATGAAGATATCAAATCACAAAAATTGGAGGCAGATGAAGAAAATGTGACAAAGGAGTTTCTTCAAATGCTTGAGGAGGAGGAGATCCTAAACGAATACAAATTGAATCAAAGTGATGTTCCACCTTTTGCCCTTGAAGGGGCAGAGGAATCTGGTGAGGGTGAAGCAGCAGCAGTTTACCTTCCTGATCTCGGAAAGAGCTTAGGGAGTGTGGTTCAAACCCGCGATGGAGGATATTTGGCATCCATGAATCCTTTTGATACTTTGGTAGCAAGGAAAGACACTCCAAAACTTGCCATGCAGATATCAAAGCCGTTTGTTCTGCCATGGGATCAGTCCATGAGTGGATTTGAATTGTTTCAAAGGATTGCAGGTATTGGACTTGATGAGCTGAACTCCCAGATTATGAATCTGATGGCATTGGATGAATTGATGGATAAAACTGCGGAGCAGATTGCTTTTGAAGGCATTGCGTCTGCAATCATTCAAGGAAGGAACAAAGAAGGTGCTAGCTCGAGCGCTGCAAGAACAATTGCTGCTGTTAAAACCATGGCAAATACATTGAGCACAGGCAGGAAGGAGAGGATTTCGACCGGGATTTGGAATGTGAACGAGAACCCTTTGACACTAGAGGAGATTCTAGCCTTTTCCATGCAGAAAATCGAGGCCATGGCGCTCGAAGCTTTGAAAATTCAAGCTGAAATGGCTGAGGAAGAAGCCCCATTTGAAGTTTCACCAACGAACAATAGTTTCACAAATTCAAGTGGTGCAAAAGTACTTCAAAACCACCCTCTCGCTTCTTCAATATCGCTCGAGGATTGGATCAAAAACCACAGCCTGGCAAGTTCAGAAGGTTTACAAGACGAAAACCAGCCGGAGACAATTACACTGGCTGTGATTGTTCAGCTGAGGGATCCCTTAAGGCGATATGAGGCGGTTGGAGGCCCTATGATAGCGCTTATTTACGCAACGAGAGCTGATGGCGCCGTCAATGAGGAGGAGAAGAGATTCAGGGTGACAAGCATGCATGTGGGAGGATTGAAAGTGAGGACAAAAGGGGGAAAGAGGAATGCGTGGGACAGTGAGAGGCAAAGGCTAACTGCAATGCAGTGGCTAATTTCTTATGGATTGGCGAAAGCTGGTGCGAGGAAGAAGGGCAAACATCATGTGGCATCCAAAGGTCAGGATTTGTTGTGGAGCATTTCATCAAGAATGATGGCTAATATGTGGCTCAAGTATATGAGAAATCCAGATGTAAAATTTACCAAGTGAAACTTTGTATTATTTGTATTGGTTTAATTATTTTTTTGTAATTTATTTGCCGTAATAATACATACAAGGAGTAAAGATTAAGGAAGTACAAATAGTTATAACTTTGAGAGTGACAGATTGTAACACCTACAAATAGTTATGTTTGATGCACTTGTAGAAATTATCAGAGAGATTGGTCAAAGGTCCACTTTCAAAAACACCGATATTATCCATAACTTGGTAGTTATCACCTGCACAATCTATTAGATGTGAGGTTTTATCACAAAAGATTTGGCATTAGTTGAAGGGAGACAAGTAATTTGTGAGGCAAGTTATTTGTCCTTCATTGTGATTGAACACTGAATAGCAAAGATAATGGAACCTTAGTAGCATAAGTTGACTTTTGAAAACCCTAATTCAGTAAGATATGGTGCACTTTCCTTGGTGGTCAGGATTGAAGGAACTGTAATCACTATATTAAGGGTGTCCTTGCTTTCATAAAACACTTGTTCTATTTTGAGCAAACTGTATTATTGCTGGAACAGTTATGCTTGTTGAAAGTAGAAGACTCCTTGGTCATCTACATGAACCATGTCTTTCGTATTCTATAGATAAATAAACTATAATTGGTTTATTGTAAAATTTAGTATATCAAATCTATAATCCTAATATCTTGTTGTTTCTATGATTTCAGAAATATCACATCCACCACCGCAGGACCACCACTAGGGAAACTTTTGAAAACCTACAATGTGGTCCTAACTCTAAAACAAGGATCAATGGTCCATTGCTTTGAGCAAGCCATAAACTTGGGACGAATTGAACCAACGGAGGAGACAAGTGAAGAAATTTGGCCTAGTCCTTATTGCCAGGTACATCACATGGATGATGACTTGCACATGGGAGGAATAGCTAAGACTCACTAACAACATTTTTAATTCATCATTAAGAACATGTTTATTAAAGCCATACTTAATTAGTTTAGTTCCACGACAATTGAAAATATTAGTGATAAATCTTCAAAGAAACCAAAAAAAAAAAAAAAAAATATTAGTCAGATGCAATAACAGTTGAATCAAGAAGTTTTTCTCTTCAAAAGATATTTCTATTATTTTTTTTTTCTCTTTAACTAATTTGTCCATCGGTAATGGAGATCACATTGGTTGGAATGTAGGCCAATATGTCTCCAGTTTGTGTTTCAATGACGAGTAAGGCGGTCAAGCTACTTGCACCTGATCGTTTAGTGGCTCTTTCTAAGAGACAGGAATGCAAATAGAAATCATCGCCTAGAAAAACCTCACGGCATGGCGGTCATCGCAACAATAATGAAATTTGTCGATATGTCAACTCTATAATACAATGTTGACTCAAAATTCCAGCTTGAGTTTCACAATGGCCTTGTAGCTCAAAGACTCTTACGAAAGTTTACTCTTGCACACGAATTCCTGTATACTCTTGGACCCAAAGTCCTGTGATCAATTCCCCCCCCCCCCCCCCATTAATATCGCTTGTACAAAAAAACAACTTCCATCTTTAGTTCTTTAATGGAGGGAACAAGATGATACTAAGGCATCAAGACAAGTATTCGACAAGTTCCAGATGCAGAAGAATGGGCCCTCTGCTCCATTGTTTCCCACTTTGTGAACCTAACATGGGTCTTGCTTTACAAAATGTTTGGTAATGGAAGTTGAACTTTTACAAAATTAAATTTCATCTTTTTCTATAACAGTGTGAAACCAAAGCACCAAGATCCCTCCTTTTACAGCCTGTACTCCTTTGAAGAAATGAAAGAAAACCAAAAGAAAAAAGAAGCCCCAAAGAGTTGAAGTCCAGATAACAATAGCACTTTCTTAGGGTTTTGTACTTTATGGATTGGAGCTTCTACCCACAAATGAGCATGGTGGAGGCAAAGACCTGTGTCACTTTCTGCACAAACAAACCCCCATTATTCCATGGCCCCTCTCCTCTTTGTCAGGTTTCTTATCCAACCCTTCCTTACCTTGACTCCCTCCGCCTTGTTGCCGACATGACACACACTGCCCTTGTTCGACCTCTTCCATCTGATGAGCTGGGCCAAGTGACCAATCCTCTTCCGCCACCTGAGCGGGATGTGGGATTTCCCGTGCTCTATCACGCTCTTGCTATCCTTTGCCTCCTTTGTTTCCTTGGCTTCCTTGCTCAGGTTGTGATTCCAGGACATGTTGCAATGATCTAGAGAGACCTTAGACACTTTGTTCTTTTCCCATGAGGCCACTCCATTGTCTTCAAACTTGATTGATATGAATGAGTCTGCAAAAGCAATTGACATTGCGAATAAGTGATCATGGTTGCCAAGAAAATTCAGACATGCACATTCTTTACAATCCTTTTCAGTGGTGAGAAAACCCCAATGACCGACTATCTCATTGAGTTCGGGGCCTTAAAACCCCAAATACGAGCAATCATACGCAACCACACGGTACTCCCATCATTATCAGTTAAGGCTCCAAGGGTTGATGACCAAGTAAAAGCAAATGTAATTCAATCAAAAGAACGTAATTAACGCGAATTTAAGGTTTGGAGTTAATTATATATGGTTTCATTCAAAATGGGCTAATGATCATGATATTAACTTATGAGAATATAAGCAAACAGAATATGTTAGTCAAATGTAGCAACTGTGTTTTCATCCCCTCCAAACTTTACTTTCATTATTATTATTATCATTAGTTGGTTGGGATGGATGGAGAGAGGGTTGAGTGAAAGCAAAGAGAAAGGATTGATGAAGAGAGGAAAACGATTGTTAGTTAGAAACTTAGAACTAAAACATAAGGTGATGTCAAATGATCATGCTACCTTTTGGATTTTGGTCTTTAATATATTATATATCAATTTAATTAAGTTGCTTATAATAATGGAAGTATGGTGATGTTTAAAATATTTCTAAAGAGGGATGTTTTCCAATACCAATATTGATTTGGAGGACTAGTGGTGACCCTCCCTCACTTATTTTTCAAGTGAACCAAATGTAAATGCACAAAATCTCATAAAGGTGTCACTTAGTACTTCAATGATATTCCTCTTCATTTGTAAGTAAGAGGTATTAGGTTCGATTATCACCAAAGGTGAATTTGAACCACATTATTGCTAACCCATTATGAGGCTAAGCCACGCCCTCATTCTTAGCGTAGATAATATCGTTTGTTAAAAAAAAAATCTCATAAAGATAACATCCATTTAATTCAAAAAAAAAAATGCAACTTGGTTCAGAAGGATGAAGCTTTTTTAGGTAATTGTCAAAACTGATCTGCACGTAGTTTTTTAATAACAGTTTCTTCACAAAATTGGAAACAATTCCTAATTAAATTAAATTGATTAGACAATTCCATGAACCCCAAAAACAGAAAAAGATGCTTCTTCATGAATAAATCCCTAAACCCTAAATCATTTTTTGCAATCTTTCAACTGGATTTTCTTTTTCATGCTGTCATTGGTCTTGAAAACTTGAAAACCCCATATACTTAAGGTATAGAAAATGAAATCTTGCTTCGCAAATCTGCCATTTTATTTAAACTTTGACCATAATTTTGTCATTATTACCCAAAAAGCAACTAATTACGCAACATATTCAACCAGACCCACAACCAGACCCACAACAAACAAAGAAACAAATACACACATACAACATCAAAGCACAATGCTTGGCCTTCAACATTGTTTATATCACCACAAACCCATAATTTTTACCACTAAAAGCTGGAAAAAGTGAAAAAGATAACAAATTTAGCACTCACCCACTAGAAAAATAACTTACCTTCTTGGCTGGTGGAAGCCTCTTGATCTGGGCCGTCGTCTGGTTTCCCCTGCCGATTGAGGAGAGAGCTGAAAGCAAAGATCTTGGGGAGGCTAATGGGTGCCTTCTTGTGCATACCATTTGGGTTTTTATGGGCACTGCCGCTTCCGACGGATGAGACATGGTGGCGGTGGTGGTGGTGGCCTTTTTTGGAAGCCAAGATTAGAAGCCTCTCAGTCAGGCAGAGGGAGCAGACCCCCACAACCAGCTCTTTGGGGTGGAAATAGCAAAAGGAGGTGTCTTCTTTGTACCCATTCATGTTAGAATTAGGGTTTGAGGGAGTTGATGAGAAAGGTGGAAAAAGAAGGGGAAGAACCGAAAAAGTGAGAAAAATTTGTGACCTGGAAAGAAAGAATAGGTTGTGTCTTCTGTGTTGTGTTGTCTTGTGTTTTTCTGTGTTTGTGGGAGAAGTGTGGGAGAAGTGTGAGAGAAGAATAACTGTTTGTGCGTGTAATGTGTGTGTAGGAAGGCATTATAGTCTGGAAAATTTTTAGATTAACGGAGGTGATCACGAGGTTGGCCCACAAATCCATTTTGGCCAATATAATATTTAGAATTGAATGTATGCTACAGACCATTTCCAACGTTTAAGTTAAAATCTAAAATTTAGGTTTTAAACTCCAATGATTGGGTCTAAAATAAATTTTAGGTTAAAACCTAAGGTTTGGACAAATTTAACTCAGAATTTAGGCCATGATTAAAAGGCTGACCAACCAAAATTTAGGTTTTAAACTAACCCAATCCTTGTTCAATTGTTGGGTCTAAAATAAGTATTGGGTTAAAATTTTAAATTTTTAAATGCATTAAATTCAACATATGAGATCGAATATGGTCAAATCTAACATTAAAATAAAGATCTAACGGCCCAAAATTGAATCCAATGGCTAAAACAATTAAAAATATATTTAAATCAAAATTCACCCAAAAACTCTATAAATATATGTTTCATGGGGTCGGTTTAGTGAATTTTCAATTTTTTCAGAATCTAAATATTTTAGGTTAAAATACTCATAAAAATACATTATGATAATCCACATAAATTTTATTTGATAAAGTTACTAAAAAAATAAATTTTAAAAAAAAGTTAGTCTAAATTTATTCTTTAATAATCTCAGGTAAAAATTTTAACCCATAACTATTAGATAAAAAAAAAGTTTATGGTTAAATTTGAGTTAAAAAATTTAGGTTTAACATTGGACTGATAAATTGGAGTTTGAATATTATGATTTGGTTATTTAATTGAAACGAGAAAAGTTGTGAATTGGGAAAAAAAAGAAGAAAGAAAATGGGATGAACTAATATGTTTTCTTAGAAAGAGTACGATATTTCATTCGTTGAAAAAAGAGCATTACACAAATATATTATGAAGAACTCGTGACACACCCCGATCTAAATCAAGGCATGTTGGTCATCACGTGAGGGTGACGTAGCCATGTGCACAATGCGGAAGCAATTAAAATAAGCAATATACGAATATTTATAAACCGAAACTACTAGAGTGCACTAGAAAACAGGAAGTGTTAGGAGTCAGATACAAAAGTAAATACTCCTAATCAGAGCATAATAAGTCTAGGTGCAGTCCAGTAGGACAGAGTTATACAGTACCAGGAATGTTTTACTATTATTTAGATATGTCAGAACCGCCGAAATCCTCAATGCCACCTACAACAAGCTTACCTAAAACCTGGAGGGGCGCAAAACAGGAAACGTGAGTGGGCAAAAACAAATGTTTACAAAACCATTTCATTTATCAACATATCTAACCCCTCGCTGTAAAACATGTATAATTTTTCCCAGAATCAAGATATATGCATATACATAAATATATATGAAATTATATTAATTCAAATCATGCTTCATATAATCATATTCATATGTATGCCATGCCAAGATATAACAGAGTAAGCAATTCAGGTAAGAATAATTTCATATAAATATAACATGTTAGCCGGAACCCCTGCAATAGTCTGTACGGCTGAATTCATAGCTCAAAACTCAATCTAGCCGGAGTCAATACAATGACCTATACGGCACTATACTGCACAAGAGTCGAAACCAAATGAAAAGGTTTGTACGACCATAATGGGTGTAAAATAATCATGCTCAATACTACTCTCACATAATAGTTGGCGATAAATCGCTAGTCACTTACGAGTCGGAACCACCTAAAATGGTCTATACGATAGGATTGTGCACCTAAATTGGATCCAATATGAGCATATGGTGCGGGAGGTGACATAATAAACAGGCATGTGCCATATCTCTGGCTAAATCACAATCACCATAGGTGCAGTTTTAGAGCTCAACATTATTCAATCACATATCGCATCGTTGATAATTCACATAACCAAACATAGCTCACCTGAGCTTACCTGAGCGTCCACATCACCACAATTATATATAATGCATCATATACCAATTCATATACGAAATATAAATTCATATGCATGGCATTTAAGGCATACTTTCATTTAAACACATATTTCTGGGAAAATATCAAGTATATAAATATATACTGAAAACCAAAAACCCACTCACTGGTATGTCGAAGGGTCGTAGCCCCCGAGTCGCCCTTGAACGCGCTTGTCCTCGGGATAAGTCTCACCTATATGCGAATTAACTATAAAAACGTTATTTTAGAGCACATACACAAAACTAGCTAATAACTTCTCATACAACGCTCAATTTTGGTATTTGAACATACCACAGTGACATACACAACCTCAGGATCATTCCCAAATTTTTAAAATATTTTTCCGACCACCCACGTGCCGGCCAAGGCACGGCTAGACGCGCCGCCCACGCGCGGGCACATGCCAGGCACGCTGATGGCATTAGTTAACGCCGTCAGGAATATTCCGTTAACTCCCATCATATTCCGTTAGATTCTTAACGGCATCAGCTAACGCCACTAGCATATTCAATCAAAACTGACGGCATATGCCACCTTCTTCTCCGACGAGTCACCGGACGCTGGCGACTTCACCGGTTTCTGAGTAAATCTTTAAAATGCTTATTCTTCCTAGTTTCTTCACCATTTTTCATGAAACTTGAACCATTGGAAAGCTGGAGATGAGAGGAACGATGTTATACTTGTTTGAAGCCTCGAAAACCACTGAATCAAGCCTGAGCAAGCTCGATAATTCTGGCCAAACTTGTAGTGCTTCGATCTCAGTCCTCCGACGTCCAATTCACTACATTTTTCTTCTCCGAGCCTCACAAGGACGTCCTAAAGCTTCCTATGTCCTTAAAATTCCATGAAACACAAGATTTCACGTCCACATGAACAGTGACCAAAATCGGAGCTAGGGTTTCCACGTGAAATCGAAGGTTCCCTTACCTAAAAATGGTACCAATCAATTCGTCTGAGCTTCACAAACACAATGATGATCTTAAAACCTTCGATCTACAAGGTTTGAGAGGGTTTCTGGGTTGGTCCGTACGAAGAAGGGAAAGAGAGAGAGAGTGAGAGTCTGTGAGAAAGAGAGAGCACGGGAATGAGAGAGAAAATGATGGGTGTGTGTGGTCCAAAAGCCACCAATCAACACTAAGAAAAGTCTTAGTTCTAATTGGGTCACCAATCTAAAACAATTTAACCCAATAATAACTCACATACATCATTTAACGTCCAAGGATAAAACCGTCATTTTACATCACTGATAATAATAATTCGGGACGGGCTGTGACAACTCAACTCCATAAGAATCCTTGCAAACTAAATATGAAAATATTATAATAAAACATCATGAATAATTAGATATGATGAGATTCACTTGATATTTCAATAAATTTTCATAAATATACCAAATCAAATCCAATCTAATAAGCTCTAGTTAGATTGGGTTGGATTTACGCTACTAGTTTCACAAACTCAAATTGTGAAATTCACATCTCAAACCCCAAAAGGTCTATTCGATTCCTAACCAACCATGTCTACGTGCATTTTATTGCTTTTAAGTTGATAATAATATGTCATTTAATACTACAGTTTAGTGGTATTCTTTTTCACTATATGAGGTTTAACCCACTCTCTTCCTTTTAATGTAGATAATATCGTTTGTTCAATATATATATATATATATATATATATTTAATATTCTATACAGGTGACCCTCTACTATGGTAGTGGAGAAAAGTGTTGCTCTTGAACCATGACGGTTTGATCTAACATCTAATCTAACAAATATATCGTTTTACCCAACAAAAAAAAAAAGTAAAGTTGAACGAAGTTTTGGATTGAATGCTTCCTTTATTTTCACAATTCAATTACTAAAGCTAAAATCTCTAGCAAAAGCATTGTGAATTAGTCTTGTTGCATAGATAGACCCGTTCTACTCCCAAGAGGAAAAAGAAAAAGTATGGAGGAGTGGTGTCAAACTGAACTGAGAGCCCACACGTTGAGTTGATTAGTATGATATATATTTATGGCTAATCTTCCTAAAAGTGGAAGACTAAATGCCTAGAATTTGACAAACCAAACCCCGAAAGCCTATCGAAAACGCTTGGATTGGGGATGCGGAGTTGGTCACTGCCATGTGACTTTTAAGTCAAAAAGTGCGACTCCCACTTGATTTCTTTCCCAACTTTATAAAGGCATAGATAAGATGTTAAGCTAAAGTCGTGAGATTGCAATTGCAAAAGTAGGTTTTTATAGGTAGTTTGTAGGTGCTCAAAGAAAAGTTATAAAATGGAGAAATTTTTGCGTGCAACAATTAGATCAGATATATACTATTCGACTCATTTGTAAAGAAACGAGTTGTTTTGTATTTTAAACAGAGTAACTACTGATTTCTCTTTTGAACTTTCACTTAACTTTTTAATTAGAAACTCAAGAACTTAAACTTTTCTTTATATTGATTTCCAACCTAGTGTTAGCTTTCCACAAATTCCATTCAAATTAACATTAACTCGTATCACGTAGACACTATGTGACTCATTTGAGGACAAAAGCGTCACTTCGCCAAACCTTCAAACACAAAAGCTATATAATCACATAGATTTGCCTAGGTCAACATTTTAGAAATCTAAGGTTTTCAATTATTTTAAAACAAAGCAACCGAACTACCCTCATATGTTGTGTACATGCTTCCATTTAACAATAATTTGGATAGAATGAATGAAAACCAAACAACATGGGAAATCGGTCAAAAAAATTAGTTTCCTTAATTTTCCAATTGAAAAGTTTATGAGGGAAATTAAAAACTAAAGTAAAAGTTCAAGGATAAATCGACAGTTTACTCAATCCAAAAATCCCACTCTTATGACTGAGATGAACAGTTCACTTAATTTGACCACCGGACACAAGAACTTCTCAACAAGATTACCTAGCTGTTTTTTCGTCATATCACATCTTGGAAGAAAGCCACGGTGTGGGTGCATAACCTTTCTCCAAGAAGATTGTTTTCACTACAAATGTGTAGTCAAGGCCTTGATATTCCAAAT